CTTTGATGAAAGCTGGGGGGCGGTTGATAAACTTTGTCATTCACAGTGTATGATTCTGAGTGGGAAAGAAAGGAGTTGATGCACGAGTGGTTTGTTCACTACGACATGTTCTATTTTGATGTGTAAAAGAGGCAGGACTCATACCTAAGTATAAAAACACCCGTCTGATAACAGTCTGCTAATAAAGCATCAGGAGGGACAGGCTCCCATAACATAACATTATCATGCTGTAGCTTGTGATATTTTCCAAAGAGCTCAAGACAGAAGAGCGATAAAATAAACAACTATCAAAGAGAGAATATAAGCTATAACTAACATTATCATGTGTTTGCTACGTCTCCTCCATGATTCCAAAATAAATCAGATAATCTGTTTTTGTTTGGACCAGATAGAAGGTAGACGGTTTTAAGGCACCCCCACACAGCCGTTTTGGACGCCCCTCGGTTTGCCAGATATGAGAGCAGTTATCAGGTCAACAGGTGTTGCAGTGATGGAAGCGGGTCAAGAGAAGTGGTTCAGATAGAAGTGATTGTACCCGACCTAAAAAGCCTCTGCATGTTTCTAATAAGCTCCACGAGCAGAAACGTGCTCAAACTAGGATCAATATTGGAGATGCTTTTGAAAAATTGAGAGAGGTTAGAACACAGAAAGGTTTACAGACCCATGCAGAGCTGGATAAACACTGAAGCTTCAGAGTCCACCACATGGTGACCTGACTCTAAAGAGGAGGGGGGGGAGACAGCTCTCTATGATGTTTTGAATTTATACTGCAGTACCCAATTTAAACACTAGGTGTCAGAGTTACATATTGCTCCTTTAACCTTGTTGTAATAATAAAGATTTATTTATTTACAGTGGCAGGAAAAGGGGGGAAACTAAAGGAACAACGAAATATCAACAACAGCAAAAACACTGGTATTGAAGTTATAGTCAGTACATCCATAATAACAGCTGCTACGTTGATGCAGATCCATATTAGAGTAGAGCGGCTAAGCTGCAGGAGAAAAGCTTCATTGAGCTGAACACTGAGCTACAGTCAGAGGAGAACAGACGGACTCTGCAGTGATGTCAGGACTCTTACAGAGCAGAATCAGAACTCTCTCTGTGTCCATGATGACTCATCATCAACCGCTAACATCCGAGCGCTAGCTGTCACCACCAACAACACAAGCAGGCCTGTTAGCTCTGTTTGTACAGTCAGCACAGAGATGAAGCCGACAGACAGCGACAGGGCGACTCGCTCTAACCCTTTATCACGGGCATCATCGGCTGACTGTTGTGACCTCTAAACTCCCTGCACTCAGGGGTCAGCAGCCCCCGCGGCAGCTTCACGTTAGCCGTTAGCTTCGAGGGGGACTCAGCAGAATAAAAACATGAGCTGACACGAGAGATTTAACCTCAAATCTGAGAGGGACTTTATTTCTGTTCTGTCATCTTTTCAAGGTTAAAATGTTTCACGTCGGATTAAGCAACTTCTAAAATGTGAGATTTAAACAAAACATTAATGCACCACAGAACGCCACAGGAGGTCATTCCTGCCCGTGGCCATCAAACTTTATAACTCCTCCCTTTGAGTGACAAACACGCCGTCTGAGCCGGGACAATTTCAGCCTAGAAAAAAAAAAAAAGTAACCTCCACCATAACTCATTATTTATTAAAACTGCAATATAATAATAATGAATAACATGTCCATGATAACAAAGTGCAATATTGAAACAAACAGTGCAATAATCTTGAAAATGTATATTCCTCTGACTCTTATTCATGTCAATATTTCTTGTACCTATTATTGAAATCTTATTTACGTTCCTATTCTATTTGATTAATATTTTTATTACTATATTTCTACTGCGATATTCTGGAGCAACTGTAACGACCGAATTTCCCTCTGGGATTAATAAAGTATTTCTGATTCTGATTCTGAAAAAATGTGTCCATTTCTGCGGGAAAAAAATTGCCGATACCGATACGCTAATATCGGCCGATATTATTGGCAAGCGGATTAATCGGTCGGCCTCTGATTTGCACTACTATCCAATTACTGTTCCTATTCCTCTCATCCAAAATTTTCTCTACCTAAGTGTTACAAGGAGTTTATTATAAGGTACGTTATTTAAAATGTTGAGGCTGTAAATCTTAATATCTTACTATTTTAAACCTGAAAAAATCCAAAATACAGAAGCTGTAAATGTTTGACAGATGCAAAATGTTGGATTCTAATGAGATCAGTGTGATCCAGCGAAACACCAGGATTGTTCAGATTGTCTTTAATGAATATAAAACATTGGAGCGACTTTTCACACTAAAACAAAGGTGATATGATGAAGTGGAAAAGTAGAATTTAATGATAATAATTTTCATAATTCAGTTAGCTTTATTAGGTTGTCAGAATATGGAGCGTCCTGTAAAATGAATCAATCAAAGCTGCACTTCTTTTGTACGTTGAACAGATTGTGTGAGTGTCTGTTCGGACAGTTTGAAACAACACTGCTCATTAAGCTTCTTTGGGATGAATTAATAATAACACAGAAGCCACAAGCGACTTTAATGGTCATGCAGAATGACGAGTGAAACTCTACTTCTTCTGCAGATTCTTTCTAATGAGAGTCTGCAGACGACGACAGAAATATTAAATGCACAGAAAAGGTGATAAAAGACGTTTCTAAATCTGTTACTGGTGAGAGAAAATCAAGCTTACTCCTGCCATGTGCACCCAGAATCATGATCATCAGCTTTCTCTCTGTTCCACATTTGCCTTTTGCTTTTAAGTAAAAGTGGGAAAAAAAAGCTTTTAATACGTGCAAATAGCTTCATTATCATCATGATAAGCTTTATTTCACTGCCGGCTCTGACATTGTTTTCATATCTGCAGCTTTGTATTTACGGTGTGTGTGAGACTCAGCGCTGAGATTTCCCACCACTAATCCCCGCGCCTGAACTGAACGTGCTGATTTTTTCATCCCATCAAAGGTTAATACCGGCGGCTCATTTCACTGATTAGTTCGCGCCGGAGAGAAGACGATCATCAGCAGCAGCTGCAGAGATTGACGGGAATATAAAACCTGCTGCAGGATTATGCGACACACGGATGTGGCCAATAAAACAGAACACCATGAAATGAGGCGCTCTGTGAAGTTTGTTTACTGTGCAGCCAAACATGAAATGCTTTTGGTTTGTGGCTGCATCTGAAAAAAATCAATTGTTTTATTTGATTATCCGTTCCCCAGCTGGTAACAATAAGTCCACACTGCAAAAAGTCAAATCTCACCAAAAGTATTTGTCTAGTTTACAAAGTATCTATAATAACATAAAAGTCTCTCATTACACTTGAAAGGAGGCAAATTCACCTGGCAAGTTCTCCATCTGCAAAGTGTTTCCTCTATGTACTGCAGTTTATCAAAGTATCCTCTTTCATCCACAGTTATCACAGTGTTATTGTCC